CTGTAAACCCTAAATTCAAGGGAAAAATATTGTGGCTATTTTGTAAACCCTAAAATTCTTTCTCATTTGCACTCCAAAAGCGAAACCCAAACTTCGATCTTCAATGCACAACAATTTTATAGGTATTCGACCATTTTTTATAAACATTATTCTAAACCTATTTGCAACAAACTCGTTATCAATTTTAACACAAGTGTTTGGCCAAAAAAAAAATCTGTTGAATTTTTTATATTTAAGATTTGTTCTAAAATAATGGTTGTTTTTTCATATTTTAAAAAAGACAAGTATTTTTTTTATTTTAATGTTATAATTATTTTTTATTTTAATTATCCATCCCATCATAATTTAAATTTCATTATTTTTATTTTTTTTAGGGGTAATATGGATTAAAAATATAAATTGTCCCCAAATCCTTACTATGGAGATAAAATTAAAAAAATGTCTATTATTCTAGGGTAAAGAAAGGGTAAAGAAAGTACTTAAGGAATGATATGTGCAATACTAAACGAAAATTAATTATGTAGTAATATTTTTTAAAACTAAGTTAAAAGTATTACTCCCCTTGTCTAAAATTAGTTGTTTTATTTTTTTTATTTTTTACACACATCTAATCGAATATAAATAAAAATTGAAAGATTTTTTTCATATATAATTTTTGTTAAATAATTTTATTTAATGAAATAAATTTTAATTATTATTAATTTACTACAATATATAAAAATAATTAGCAGTAATTAACAATTCAAGTAACTCATTAATAACCTCTTGTGAAAATAAAAAATTTTATATTCAAATTATATAATATGAAACGATTGCAAATACAAAAAATAATGGAGTATCCTAGTTAATGCATGGTAAAAGTTAACTACGAGATAGTTGTGACTGTAAATATTAAGATAATGGAGATGAATTGAATTGAAAGTTAAAAGAAAGATGTGACGGACAAATTTATAAATCCAAAAATATGAAAACTAAATTAAAATTTATGATAAAAGTAGGCGACTTTACATGTATCCTACCCAACATTTCTTATGTTTTATCTTTTTCTTTCTCAAATGGTTAGCATATGTTTTGGTAAGAAACAAAGAAGAAGTCCCAAGGAGACTTAATTGATTAAAACTAAGCTTGATATCAAGTTTGAATCTTTAATTAACTGGGAAGATATTTCAAAAAGGAAAAATGCTCATAACTTATCATTTGATACCAAAAAAAAAGGCACATAAAAGAATGCAATCTGGGAAGAAGGGAAACTCTTACATACCTAGTTGAGATATATAGTTTCTTCAATGTCAGATAGTAAATTCCAATGATTGCTTGGGAATAAGCTATACTCTCTGGAGCAGAGTATGGATTTCACCAAGATGATGCAATATCTGGAGAAGAATGCAAGCTCAGATCATGAGCTGTACACTTGTACTATAACCAATACTACAAAATCATCCCCCCCAAAAAAAAACAAAAATGAAAAGAAGAAGGTAGACAGGGAGATGGAAGTAAAAACTTACAGAGTTTTGTAACTAAGCATGTGTTGTTGATTGCTTCCTCTTGATCTGGTTTTGAGATGTTCTCTAAATATGTAGAAAGAAAAAAAAAAGTCCAAAGAGACTTAATTGGTTAAAATTAAACTTGATATTTTTAATTAGAAGGTGTTTAATTTAAATCTTTAGTAAGTTGAAAAGGAATTTAACAAATGAAAAAATGCATATAACTAGCATCTGATGTAAAAAATCAAAAAATGAAAAATGAAAAAAAAAAAAGGCAATCTGGGAAGAAAGAAAAAGTTTTACCTATCTAGTTGAGATATACAGCTTCTTCCATGTCAAATAGCAAATTCCACTTATTGCTTGAAATAATTAATGTAAATCTATACTGTACTATTTGGAGTAGAGTATGGATTTCACCAAGATGATGCAATACCTGGAGAAAGGTGCAAGCACAGATCTTAAGTTGTACACCTTGTACAATTACCAATACTACAAAATCATCCAGAAATAGAAAAGAGAAGAATGCAGGCAGGCAGATGGAAGTGAATACTTACAGAGTTTGTAACTATGCATGTGTAGTAGATTGCATCCTCTCGATCTGGCTCTAAGATTCTCTTAATATGCAGTAGATCATGTAGATCTGCTTTAAAATGATTTTATATATCAAGACCGAAAGGAAAATGAAAATCAACTAAAGAAAAGCACAATAAAACAAAAAACAATAATGCCATTAACGTGCCGTCAACCCTCCATCTTTGAGTTTATTGAGATGAGTGCAATGTTTCAAAATTTGAATAGAAGTGTATTTTAAGTGGTAGTATATAAATAATAAAAAAAATATAGTGTGTTATAAATTGTATTAAATTATATCAAAATAATTATTAAATAAGGATTGATTTTTTAATATTAAAAGTTTTTTATTTAATATTTTTTTATTTTATACTTTAATATAATTTAAATTATAAAATTTTGATTCTGCCAGCCAGTTTTTATCTTTATTTTTTTCATTGGTTTAGTAGGTCCATACCTGCTTTTCCACAGAAAATATGACTAATTTCTGGTGGCCTTTTTCTAAAAATGAGACCTTAAATAACAGTACGTTTCGATCCAGTGATATTGGACCTTGAGTTAGAATTGTTCACCTTTGTTACGTTCGAACCCTATGAAATCCCTTTCTCCTCTCCTCAATTAACCCTGTAAACAATTACAAATTGTTAAAAAAAAAAAAAGAGCTTAGGGGTCCACAGCACAGGTATCTACTTTCTATAGAAAAATCAGCAGTTTTTTTGTTTGACTGAAATGACGAATCAGCCCCGTACTCTCTCCGTGAACATCACTCATTTTTTGTTTTAAAAAGTGAGAGCTTTAAGGGTTAAGATGCAGCCTACTTTGTTTTCTAAAAACAG